CCCCCCACTGCAGAGGGGGGACCCCCTCCCCCTTTATTGCTCCAAAAATGGGCCATGATCTGTCCTCCTGACTGGACAATCCCCCTCCGTTTGGTCCACCCCTCCCTGTGTCCCCCAGCCTGGCCCCCAGTAAGCCTTTATGAGCAAGTCAATGAGTGGATGGCCTTGGGGGAGACCAAGCCAAGCCCTTGCTGCCTTCTTGGGATGCTTTGCAGACCACCACTTCCCTTGGGCATTTTTGTTTAAAACACGGGATGCGGCCGGGCGCGGTGGCTCACGCCTGTAATCCCAGCACTTTGGGAGTCCGAGGCGGGCGGATCACAAGGTCAGGAGATCGAGACCATGGTGAAACCCCGTCTCTACTAAAAATACAAAAAATTAGCCGGGCGCGGTGGCGGGCGCCTGTAGTCCCAGCTACTCAGGAGGCTGAGGCAGGAGAATGGCGTAAACCCAGGAGGCGGAGCTTGCAGTGAGCCGAGATCGCGCCACTGCACTCCAGCCTGGGCGACAGAGCGAGACTCCGTCTCAAAAAACAAAAACAAACAAACAAACAAACAAAAAAAAAAAAACAAACAAAAAAACACGGGATGCACTGACATGCCCAGTGTTCTCTTCACTGTTTATCAAAAAACCCCAGGGTTGTCCTTGCTCCTCCCTCTCCTGTTCCTCTTTCTCCTGAATCTGTCCTCATATCAGTCAAACTGCCTGGGTCACCACAACACCCTCCCTGGGGTGTCCCTAGTTCTGGATTCGCACCCCTGCCCACCCATCCAAGTCTGGTCTCATCGTTTCCCTGCAAATGACCTCCAGGACTCCCCAGATGAGTCTGTCCCCCAGGGATGAGTTCTCTGGGTCTGGGCCTGGTACCTGTCTAGCCTGCTCTTAGACCACTTTGACCCCAGGACTCATTTGCTCCAACCCTGTGGGCCACCTGGAGCTTCTTGAGACTCTATGCCTGGGAGTCCCCTGCCAGGTGTCCTCTGCACCTGTCACTCATCCTCTGTGGAGACCCCTTGGGCTTTCCCTGTCCCAGTCTCTGTCCTGCAAGCATCACACTGCCCGTGGCTGTCACCTCACATGACACCCTCCTTTTGTGGACTTGAGTTGGGGTAAATCTGGTTCCTCCAGGACCTCGGCCCTGGCACAAAGCCTGACCCTGATGGGGACTCCTTGCCTGGAAGTACCTGCAGGACACTGAGACCCCGGTCCCAGCCTGGCACCCACTGGTCTTAACCCTCCCCCGATGGGGGCACTGCTGGAGTTGCACAGGGTCAGCTTTCCTCGTGGAAGCCCTCACCACGGCCACTGCAGGGGTGGGCATCAGGATGCAAGGCCCTCACCAATCAGGAAGCCTCACTTTGCAGAAGGGGAAACTGAGGCCACAGAGGTGCACATGCCAGCTCCATCAGCTCAGGGGACAGGGACAGGGAAGAGCTGGAGTTGGACTAACTAAAGCCCTGTGACTTTCTCAATCACTAGTGCTGCTGAGCTGACACTATCTTTATTATCCGGTTCCTTTCAGAGTTGATATTTGGAATAAAATACAAGGCCTTCCTTTATTTCTGTGAAATTACATCTTGATCTAGTCATCCCAATCCATGGCATTTGGTGCAACTGTCCAAGGTACTCATCAACTCTGCCAGCTCTGCGATATGAGCTGAGTGACTTGGGCAGGTGGCCTCACCTCTCTGGCCTCTATCCCCATTTGTATAAAGGGGATCACAGCAGGACCTGCCTATGAGACCACTGAGATGGAGGTGCTGTCCCTGAAATGATTATCATGTGGGGTATAAAGTTCACCAGTGATGAACAGGCCCTTGTGACCCAGAAGGCTGTAAATGAACCCAGATCCTCAGTGCTTTGTCTGGGGACCTCCCACCACACACAGAGGGCAAGGACTGGGGTTACACAGGGAGAAGGGCTGCACTGTGTCCCCCCACAGGCCCTCCCCAGGGCCTTTCCCTCAAAGGCATCTGCACCTTGTGTGGGTGTGGGTTTCCTAGGGGTCAGTAATAGGAGGTGACTTTAGCTGAGGTCTAGTGACCCAGGGACCCCAGGGAAGGCCCCCATAACATCATCTGGAGCCCACCACCTGGTACTCAGGGAGGTGGCCCCTGCCCAGTGGGGAAAAGGGCGTAGAGGTGGCACATATGCAGTGGGAGGAGGAGGGGAGAAAGGAGGAGCCTGGGTGCCCTGTGGGGCAGCAGCCACCATCCTCTGTGGACATCCTGTCCCTGCCTCCATTCCTGCCCCTGCCTCCATTCCTGCCCTACCCAGAGGACTGGGGGGAGGCCAGTGAGATGCTGGCCTTGGTGCAAAATTTAAGAGGGGCCAGGAATCTCAGGAATCAAGGTAAATAATATTTTAATATGATATTTTAAAATAAAAATCAGGCCAGTCATGGGCTAATTACGGGCTCATGCCTGTAATCCCAGCACTTTGGGAGGCTGGGGTGGGTAGATCACTTGAGGTCAGGAGTTCAAGATCAGCCTGACGAACTTGGCGAAATGCCATCTTTACAAATAAAAAACTTAGCCTGGCATTGTGGTGTGCACCTGTAATCCCAGCTACTTGGGAGGCTGAGGTAGGAGAATCGCTTGAATCTGGGAGGCAGATGTTACAGTGAGCTGAGTTCAGGCCACTGCACTCCAGCCTGGGTGACAGAGTGAGACCCCACCTCAGAAAAAAAAAAAAGAAAATTTGACTCAAACAAGTTCATCATGGACAAAATAGTAACTCTTTAGTGAAAGCTAGTGTCTACCCAGGCCCCTCTAGGGGTTGATGTTCCTCCTCACCCCTCTGACTTGTCTCCTCCACATTCCATAAACTCTCTCCACCCTTACCTGCCCCACAGGCTCTCGGGGCTGGACCAACCACTTCCCTCCCAGGCTTCCAGCTCCGGCTGGGAGGAGCCAGGTGGGGTCTGTTTATGGTGGATCCTTGCCTCATGGTAACTTCTCCCAGTACCTGCACCCCAGCTGTGCCATGTGGAGCCCCCTTCCCACAGAGCCCGAGGTCCCTTCAAGACCCCTTGGCCAGAGCCTATGGCTTCCCATCGCCTTTAGTTGGGGCACAGCTCTTTCTGGTGTGTGAGACACCGGCCTACACTCTAGGTCTTCCATCTCAGAGTCGAACCCAAGCTCTTCTCAAGGGCTGGTCTGACCAGGCGTGAGTCTCCAACCCCTTGGAAATATTTAGGATGGGAAGGGCGAGCTTTGTTGGCTCCCCTACTCTGGGGCGGTGGTAGGGAAGAGTGGAGGGTCTCCTGGTGTGCCTGGACCCCACAGAAGTGAGCTGCCGGATCTCCCAGGGGCGGATACTGCCTCTCAGGCCACTGTGCCCTGCTATGGCAGATGCCCCCTGAGATGCCAGTGACCAAAAGCTGGCCCTTCCTGGGTCCTCTGTGCCTGGCCTCTCACTCAGTCCCTGACATGGCTGTCACCCACAGCCTCCTGCTGGCTTCTCAGGCCCCTGGTCAGGCAGCTTCGGGGGTTGATGGGGAATTTGCAAGTTCTCTTTTCAAACCCACCTAGTTGCTCTGCAAAATCCTTCCTGAGCCCTGAGGCCAACCAGCATGGGAGGGGGTGTGGCCAGTCCACCCTCAGTGCCCTTTCCTGTCTTACAGGGGCCCACAGTATCATCAGCAAGGGTCTGATCCGCTCACTGCTGTGGATGCTGCAGAGGGAGGAGAAGCTCCAGGAGCTCATCCTGGACCCGCTGGCCCCTGCCTGCAGGAGAGGGTCTGGCACCTCCTCCCCATGAGGAAGGTGAGAACAGGAGAAGCACTGGTGATGATCCTGACACCCAGCGGTCACTGAGCCTCCTGTGTGCCAGGCATTGTCTCCAAACCTCACATTTAGAAAACCCTCCAGCGAGGCGATGTCTGCCTCCACAGGTGAGGAAACGGAGGCGCAGTGTCTTGTCTCTCACCCCAGGCCACATGGGATCACAGTCTACATCCTGGCCTCAAAACTGGGGGAGCACAAAGACTCACAGCTTGCGGTGGTTGGGGGGTGTTCCTACACTGGGCCCCTCATTGTGAGGATGGGCGGTCACCGACCCCCAGAATCCCTGCCTTGGCCATGGCCATGTCCCCTTGCTGGGGGGGCCCTCTTGCCTTCCCTAAGTCCTGGCTTCTCTTTCTTCTGAGAGTCTCATTAGAGGCCTGGGTGAGTATTCTCCAAGTGTGGCCCCTGAACCAGACCCCGGGTGGTCTGTGGAAATGCATGTTCTCAGGCCCCATCCCAGCCCATCATTCTTAGGTTTGCACAGAGGTCCCTTTCTGTGGGACCAGGAGAGTGGCTTTCCAGGAGAGAGCTTTCTCTCTGAAACTGTGGCCTCCCCAGCCTCCCCGCATCCTCCTGTGTCCACTGTGACCACCATCCTTGCCATCACTTTCTGTCATCCCCAAGTGGAGCTCCTGAGGACAAGGCTTTGCTCTGTTTGCAGCTCCAGACCCACAGGTCACAGCAGGGGAGCTTTGGCCCCAAGTTGAGAATTGCCTGGCCCAAAAGAGTGCTGAGGTGGGAAACCCAGTTCTTGCCTCAGCGTGTCACTGTATGAATGAATCAGGGAATCCCTGCAGCAGGGGGACAGGGTGGCACCTCCCCTGAGACTGCAGGCACGATGGTCAAAAGAGGGATAGGGTGAAAAGAACCCCCACAGGCTGTTAGAAATTCCCTGTGTTGGTGGCCTGCTGAGAAGTATGTGGCCCTGGATGCACAAGCCATCAGCCTGCTCCTGAAGCTGCTACACTCACCCACAGGCAGCGTGTACCTGAAGGCCACCAAGGCCTTCACCATGCTGCCAGAGGCCCCTGAGGGCTGCAAGGTTGTGCAGGCCCACGTGCATACCTTCCATGTCCTGGAGGAGGACTCTGACAGCAAGGCTTACGAGGGCGAGACCTTATGGCAGGCGACCCAGATCGCCATCGATGTCTTTGAGTGGAAACCCTGAGCCCCTCATTGGGTCAGACCTGATCAGCCACCTCCGCACCTGAATCAATGCACTCAGTCTCTTTATTTCAAGTTCGAATGGCACTTTCTGTTCCTGGAGCACAGTCACATCTCTTCTCACTCTCTTGCCAAAGGTGGAATGCCAGGCCCAGAAGCACCAGGTCCTGGATGGTACAGGCCGAACCCAGTGCTGGGGTGGGTGGGAGATGGCCTTGGAGTTTCACTCTCTGCTGGGGCCAAGAGTTTTCCTCAGCATGTAGAGAGGACGGAGACCTCCAGGGGCAAAGCTGGGGGCAGGAACTTGGGCTGGGGGAAGGAAGGAACGCAGCTGCACCAGGCATCACCCAGGTTTCAGAAGCTCCAGTGATTGACCCATGGGGTGTGGCTGGGTGTGGCTCTGCTCAGCCAGGTCTGCCCTTTCCCTACCCTGGGTGGCAGGAAGGAAGGCAAAAGGTGAAACCCGATGCAGGTTCTTACGACTGAGGATGACTCTGTCCTAAAAGGCTCCCCCAAGGATGAGAGCTCAGGACAGGGAGAGGTTCTGGTTTCCTCCTCAAGATCTTCCCAGCAAAGAGCTGCATTCTCCAAAGTCACCCAACCATGCCCCCAGGCTGGCCTGAAGCCCCACCTCGAAGGCACATTCCTGGTGCTGTCCAGGAGGGGAGCCTAGGAATCCATGGAAAACACCCGACTGCAGAGCTTGAGCCGCCCTCAGATGTTCCTGTAGCACGTGCTGGTCTGCCCTTTAGGTCAGCTCCCTGGTCAGCTCCTGGGAGGGCTTCACCCTGGATGAAGAAGAGACAATCCCTTTTCAGTGAGAGCAGGCTCCCAGCTTTGTGCACTATGACATCATCCCACTAAGCAGCCACCACGCCAGCATCTCCTGGGCTCCTACCTCTGCAGTCCAGGCTGAGGAGAAATTAGAGATGCAGGAACTCATCAGCCAGGGATGGAGGTGCCTCTGTTACAAGGGGAGGGCCAGGAACACAGACTATGTTGTGACCTAGAAGTGCTGAGCACCACACCCTTGCCTCCATTCTCCAAGGCCCATTTACCACACTGTTATCAGTTTCTGGGATTTAAGAAGCTGCTGCCAGGAGAGGTATGGGAACCAGCCTGGAAGAGGCAACTGGTCATTCAACTGTAGCCCAAAGGCACAAACTGCCAGCCCAGAGAGCCAAGGCTGGACAAGGGTAGTGGGACAGCCAGTGGCTATAAGCCCACACTATGGAGGGAGCCAGCTGTGTTGAGATCCCAGCTCTATACTGACTGTTTATCTATGGAGGCTGGGGCAAGTTGATTAACTGCTCAGTGCCTCAGTTTTCCTAGCTCTAAAATGGGGATAGTAATTGTGTCTTTCCTAAATGGGTATGATTTTGGCAGTGCCAGGTGCATCATATTGAAAATAAGTGCCTTGTACATTGTGGGTACCCAAGAAGCCAGTTTACAGCCCCTCAGAGGAGATGCATCAGCAGGCATCTGAGAGAGCCTGGAACCCTGCATCCTGCAGGTGCCCAGGGTCCTATGTCCAGGAGAAGCTGCCCCCTCACTCCACAGCAGTCTACACAGCACCCCCTGACCAGGGGTACACCGGTTTGGGCAAGTGTTAAGAAGAAGCCCCTGGGCCTCTCTGGGCTCTGATCTTCCCTGGAAGGACTGTAGAGGTCCCAGAACCCTGCCTTCTCCCAGCCAGGCCCTTCCCTCCCTTTCCAAACTCACGTCCTCCTCACCGTTCTCTGCCTCAGACTCAGGACTAATCTCATTATGTCCTTTATCCTTGTTTGCATCAGGGGCTGCAAGAAGCTCAGGTCACCTCCCCTTCATGGCCGTGAATACTCCTTTTCTGACCCCATCTGCTGAAACCTTTTTTCCAAGCCCTCTGGAGGCCCCAGGGCCTCAGCATCTCCCTGGAACATTCTTCCCTTTCTTGCTTGGACTGAAACCTAGCTCTTTCGAGACCTGCTTCCCCACCCTAGGCATCCTCCTATGTGGGGCTGCTTTCCTCCTTCTCTGCCCCTCATGCCCTCATTGGAGTGGGACAGGTCCTTACAGACCATCTCCTGTGTCCGTTCTGAGGAGCCCTCTGGTTCAGAATCCCTGCACAGGTCTGTGGCCCTGGCCCTCTCCCCTCCCCAGCACCACACCACCAGATTGCTCTTGTAGGGCACCACGTGGTCTCCATGTGGCTGAGCCCAACTGCCGGTCCTCAGGCCTCATCTTTCTTTGGCCATGAGCATTTCCCCAGTGGAGCCTCACCACCTCCCCTCCCTGAAACACTTCCAGGAAACAAGGCCACTTCTCTGCAATTTTAGTTGTTCAGTAACGTGCTATTGTGCTCTTTTAGAAACTGATACACACCATGGTGTGTTTAAGCCTTTAGGGAAGTGGGAGGATACTGGGGGCTGCTGTGTGAGCACCTCTATGCTATACCAAGTCAGATCAGTGAGGGAAACTGGACCACTAAGCTGCAGGGCTACCTTCCCCTCCAGGATGCTTTTCACATCTTCCACGATCCTCTCACTGGAGACCTTCCATGACCCGGACTCATCTTAGGCCTCCCTGTTCTCTCCATGTGCTACTGGGGTGCCTGCAGATCAGATAATGAGCGGTGCTGTCACTGAACTGACTGCCCGCGGAGACTCGTGGTCTTTGGTGCATTCCAGGCTCCACCACAGACTCTGCAGCCACAGACAACTGTGGTCCTGGCTGCTCTCTGCCATCAGGTTTCCCTTCCATTTTTACTTATTGCCTAAAGAACTTCATACAAAATTCTATTTAAAAGCAGTTTATTCCACAGTCCCACATAGAACACATCAACTATTTTTTCTTCTTTTCTATCACTGTCTAAAAGCACATTTTTTTTTTACACAGTAAGACCCAGTTTGGTTAACTGCATCTAATTTTTAACTATTCGATGGGCATTTTTTTTTCTGAGATGGAGTCTTGCTCTGGGTGATTCTCTTTGATTGTCTCTGTTCTCATTCCATAAGAACAACCACATGCTCTATGGAAGCATAATCCTTCAATTGCACTCATACAACCTGTAACTTTTCACTCCCTGAGCCAAGAGCTTCTCCATCCGAGTTTCAGCAAGAACAATTTCTGAGCCATGGAGCAATGGGTAACGCCACCCTCACTAAGCTCACACACCCAACTGTGGAAGCACGTTTCATTTTATGGTAAGTCTACTTTGCCACTACAGGCGGTGTAGCATGTTAGTTTCTAGATTAGCCTTTGGTGTTAAAGAGATCCCGCTCTTGGTGTGTCTCCTGAGTAATTTACTTAACTGAGACTCACATTCCTCATCTGTATAATGACTATAACAAAACTAATCCTGTCTCAAAGTGATTGTGACACTTCAAGGAGGCAACATAGAGAAGTGCCCATATAGTATCTGATACTCAATTTATATCTGTTATTATGTTCATTCTTATAACTTAAGCACCTGCTTATTAACTACAGTCATATGTGGCAGAATGACATTTTGGTCAATGACAGACCACATGTATGACAGTGCTCCCATAAGATTATAACAAAGCTGAAAATTTCCCTTTGCCTAGTAAAGTCGTAACTGTTGGAATGTCAGCGCAGTGCGTTACTTACGTGTCTGTGGTGAGGCGGTGTAAACAAACCTACTGCGCTGCATCATTAGAGTCAAACATTTCTTTTTGGTAAAGATTTTAAGATATGTTATACAAATGAAAGACTAACCACAGTGATGGAATTTTTAGAAAGAGATAAAACTAAGAGTCCACGAGGATTTGGAGAAATGGCTACTCATATATACTGTTAGAGGAGCATGAATTGGTGTCATCATTTTGGAAAAAAATTTGGCATTATTTATGACAATGAAAGATAAGCCCCCTTCCAACAGTCTACTCCACAGAAGTGAGTGGTGGTGTTATTCCAAAACCATTGACAAAAATACTCAAAGCACCATTACTTGAGATAGACACAATTATATTAAAAATAACTCTGGCCAGGCACAGTGGCTCATGCCTATAATCCGAGCACTTTGGGAGGCTGAGGCGGGCCGATTGCCTGAGGTCACGGGTTCGTGACCAGGCTGGCCAACATGGTGAAACTCTTTCTCTACCAAAAATACAAAAAATTAGCGAAGCATGGTGGCGGGTGCCTGTACTCCCAGCTACTCAGGAGGCTAAGGAAGGAGAATGGCGTGAACCCGGGAGGCAGAGCTTGCAGTAAGCAAGCCACTGCACTCCAGCCTAGGGGACAGAGCGAGACTCCGGCTCAAAAAAAAAAAAAAAAAAAAAAAAAAAAAAAAAAAAAAGAAAGAAAGAAAAAGAAAAAGTCTAGAACTTCAGTGATGAATATCATCTCAGAGAACAAAACCAAAGCCAAATCTTTGAAAACAGGAAATAATGTGATACTATCTTTTGTGGGAAGGAATTCTTGGCTTACCCAAAAATTAGAGAACTGGGGAGAAAGAAGCCTTATCTCAGAATCTGTGACTGGATTGGGAAGTGGAGGTTGGAAATGTGCTCAGGGTCAAACTTTTCCCCATTCAAAGGAGACTGGGGTTTTACCAGTGAGCCCAGAGTGAATATTCAGTCCGCCATCCACCCCGGGAGATCTCTTTAAACCAGGAGCTCACAGCGAGGACAGAAACATGAATGTGCACTAACAAGTCCTGAAAGTTCAGAGGTGATTCTCGATTTCCCCTTGGCACACAGCAGAAGAACTGTTTCTCTAGGTTCCAGGAAATGCCTTTGAGAGAGCTGTGTCCCCCAGATTCCCTTCATCACAGATGACACCCAGTGCTTAAGCCTACACCCCTTGTGTACAATCCCTAGGAGTGCTGACTAATCCAAACCAAAGGATCTGATGTTACACAGGCAGAAAAGAGCAGGTGGACTGCAAAGAGAATCTCTCATGAACGTGGCACCCACATAGCCCATAGAGACAGTTCTTACCATGATGCCAAGAAACTCTGGAAACAACAAGCCAGACCTCACACATATTTCCATTTTCTTTCTGATTTCATACCCCCTCCTTCAGCCCCTCCTCACAATCAGCAGGGATAACCTGAGGCTCCTGGGAACCTTTTCCCATTGGGTTTTCCCTGGCACGTAGTTCCCTACCTGGGTAAGTCTCCTCATCACTTATGCTCTCCAGCGTCAAGTCTTTAGAAAGAAAAACACCAGGATAAGTCATTAGAGAGAGTGACTCACCCGCTCCTCCTACTTTAGCTGAAGCTGATTGATGGGCTATTCTCCCACCCCACACTGCTTCATACATGATCCCCTCATCTTTCTTCTGGGTTGACAAACCTTCCTACAGCTTCTTGGGCCAGAGTTCTATACCGGCAAAATCACTTTCATGAGAACCCCAAGCCTCTTTCCCAGCAGGAACCCAGAATCAGGTTTCTATACACTGAAGCTAGCAAGTTTTTCCCTCTATAAGTGAGTTATTTCATGGTACATACCATTTTCATTCCAAGCTGTTATCTGCAATTATATAAAAGAAAACATGAGAATCAGATTCTGCTGTGCACTTGACATAGATCTGTTATTCTCTGGACAACGATAAAAAAACCAGAAGGCAGTACAGTGATTGAGCCATAGGTCAAAATCCCCAAAGACTAGCACAGAAGATAGCTATAGAAAAACAAGACTTCTATTCACAGAATTTGCCTTTAAATTTAATTTTATATGCAAATGTACAATGCTTAATCCAAGGAGGAAAACTGGTATTGTGGAAAATGCCTTAGTATTCCAGTTGATACTGGATGTTGTCATTTAGAAGCAGCAAAGTGGATCATGTAGAAGTTGGGAAGACACACTTACTGAATTCCAGCCCCACAAAGACAATAGTGTACAGTGTACATAATGTGCATTGCCAGGTTTTCAAATCAAAATTAATTGAGAAGTAAAGAATCAGGAAAGCAACGCTGCTGTAGAAGACAAAAAAGGGGGATCTTACCTGGACATCACCATCATCATTATCATCTTCATCTTTATGTTGCGGTGAGCATCTTAAAAACAGGTCGTCCTCAGGACGAGCTGGAAGGACACAGAGGAAAGATCAGTGCACCGGTGGTTAGTGACTGAGTCACTCACGAGGCTTTGCCAGAATTGTTGTATGGAGGTGGTTGATTAATAAGCATGGACTGAGTTGATGTTGGGCTATTCCCCTGAGGGGAAGAGGGATGGCAGAGAAGGGGAGCTGGAAAGACATGAGACATGGAGGCCTTGGCCTTGCACTGGAGGTATCAGGCAGCAACACAAAATAGTCAACCCAAAATGGAACAAAAATGCACACTGAGGGTCAATGGAAGAGTGCCTTCCTCCCTCTCAAATGTTTTGAAACTCCACGAAACAAACAGCATTTTCTTAACGTATTCAAGACCACGTCAGTACACTAGGATCTAATTATGCTGATACCACATTTAGCATCTGTTTTAAAGGATTCATTACTTGATTAAAAGCCTATTTTATTAGTGAAATTGACTGAATTTTACCCAAATTACTCTATTCTATTAATCACACATTCTTCTTCATAGAGATCATTTAAAAATTCAATATTAAAATGTTACAATAAAAATAGTCATGATTTCCTCTTTGTAAGTCTTCTTCTGGAACGACTTCTAAACACCCTTTTGGGGCCCTGTGATCAGGGGCTCAAGCAGCTCCTGTGTGACTCTCCCTGGGGAGATTCCCTAAAAATCAAGCTTCATTCAAACAGGCCAAGCTCACACAGCCTGCTCTACCTACACCAGTGAAGCTGAGAGACATGACTCTGAACACTTTAAGCCATGAAGATAAGTTTAAAGGTTCAAATACACATTATCTACTGAAATGAGGAAATGTATACCAATAGAAATGAACAAATTCATGAAAAAATGTTCATGAGTATGGGGTGATTTTTGGTTAACTAGCTTACATAAAAATTATTTTTTTGGCCGAGCGCTCTGGCTCACACCTGTAATCCCAGCACTTTGGGAGGCTGAGGCGGGTGGGTGACCTGAGGTCAGGAGTTCATGACCAGCCTGGCCAACATGGTGAAAACCCGTCTCTACTAAAAATACAAAAAATTAGCTAGGCATGGTGGTGAGGACCTGTAATCCCAGCTACTCAGGAGTCTCAGGCAAGAGAATCGCTTGAACCTGGGAGGCAGAGGTTACAGCGAGTCGAGATCATGCCATTGCACTCCAGCCTGGGCAAGAAGAGTGAACCTCCATCTCTCTCTCTCTCTCTCTCTCTCCCTCTCTCTCTCTCTCTCATCAAATATATATATATATATTTGATGCCTGTTCATTCAGACATACAAAATATTGGTATAAGAAATCAAAAATTTCTACCGGTCATGTTAAATCTAACTTATCAGCTGTCAACATGAAGATCCTAGGAAGTAAAGAAGGTACAAATAAGTGGAAAGGCATCTTGTATTCATGGATAGGAAGACCAAACCTGATTAACACACACTACTACACACATGATCTACAGACTCACAACAATTACTATCAAACTGGTAACAGCCATCTGTGCAGAAATGGAAAAGATAATCCTACAATTTTAATGAATTTCATGTGCCTCAAGTAACCATGATGACATTAAAAAAATAGTGTTAGAGGATGCACATTCATGAGATTGAAATCCACACACACACACACAATACAGAAATACAGACACCATGGTTCTAGCATAGGGGCACTCATAAGTTTCACAGATATAGAGAGCCCAGAATTGAATGAACACACGTATAGTAAACTGATCTTCAACAAAGGTGTCAAAAATACACAATGGGGGGAAAGGAAAGCCTCTTCAACAAATGATGGTAAAACTGCATATTCTCATTCAAATGAAGAAATAGAATGCAGAGAGTGTGCTCAAGGTTGTACTTCTCCCTCCATTTCCAAGACACTGGAGCTTTTGCAGTGAGCCCAGAGTGAATTTTCATTCTGTCCTCCACACCCAGGAAGAGCTCTTGAAACCAGACGTAAGCAGGAAAAACGGACAAATGAGTGTGCTGCCAGGAAACCTAACCGTTCATAAGATACGGATTGATTTCTCCTATGCATCTGGGCACTCCACATAAGAATTTTGTCTCCAGCATAAAGTAACTGCTTGTTATAGAAGTCTGTCCTAAACCAAAGGCTTTGAGATTTTGCAGTGTCAGAGACAGAAAAGAGCAGGTGTTTTAGAAAGATCATCTTTAAATAATAAAGTAAGAAGAGATGATCGAAAACACAGGATACTCAAAAGCCCATAAACATAGTACTTCTCACCATCATGACAATTCAACTCTAAAAAAAACAAACTTGACTTATATTTGCTTTTTCTTTTTCTCTTTCTACACCCTCCCTCAGCCTCCCAAGCAGCAGGTATAACATGAAGGCTCCTGGAAATGCTGTTTTATTAGACCACACCTGAAATCTTCCTACCTACCTGGAAAGGCATCCTATTCCCTGCTGAGATTCTCCAGAATCCACTCTTTAGAACCACCAACATCAGGATAAGTCAGTGAGAGCTGCACTCACTTCTCCTACTCCAGGTGAAGACACACTGGCTCACACAAAATCTCCTGGTTGGTCCTCTGGGTTCACACACATTTCTACAGCCCCTCTGCTCATACCTATACACTTGTAAAATCATTTGCTCTCACCAGACTCCCAACATTTTTTAACAGAAACCCAGATTAAGGTTTCTATATATTAAAGCCAGCAAGTTTGTTTCTCAGAAAGTGAGTTAGTTCAAGGTACGTACCCTGCACAGGTGATGGTAAAATCTGCAATGAGACAAAAGAAGATGCCATGAGGATCAGATCAATTCTGCTGCACCCCTTACACAGATCTGTTAGTCTCCTGATGACTTCACAAAACTACTTGTGAAACACTGGTGAGTCAAGGTCAAAGGCCAAACATTCTAGCATAGAGGACACCTGTGGAAAAGACAAGAGCTTTCCCCACAGAATTTCTTTGAGGTTGATTTAGGTTGGTAAATGCACAAGGCCTCATCCAAGGAGAAAAACTGGTGTGGAGGAAAACGCCTCTGCATTACAGCTGGTGATGGACGCTGTCCTCAAAACACCCTAGTGTGTCATGTATGAGATGAAAAGAAACTCAGACCGAACTCCACCCTCACAAAGAGAATTGTGTATGTTGTACATAATGTGCCTTGTCATATTTTTATATCAAAATTAATTGAGAACGAATGAAATCAGGTGAAGGAAATAATGTATACGGTTGTCCATTTTTAACACAAAGTGCCTTGAACCAGTTTAGGTCAGCAAAGGACAAAAGAAATAGGATATACTAGGCTCCTACTTGGATGGGCAATGCCTGCTTGTTAGACTCCCCTCCACCCGACTTAGTTGCCCTCACTTCAACCAAAGAAGATTAGTCTAAGATGAAAGTTTACTGGCCTAGAAAATGGCTCATTTTGTCTGTTCTTATCAGCCTGCCCAGCTACTTAGGTCATAAGGCAAATACTTGAAGAGTCCCTGAGCTGACTAGGATGGCAATGCATTGTGGGCTGCAAGAAAATGCAGTAAGACAACCCTAGAAAAATACCTAAAACCCCCTCTCCAAAAATCAATAGGCAACACCTGGGAAGATTGTGACTCCACAGTACTCAACCTATGAGGAACAAGGGGAGGGACCTGCACACTAGGGGATAAATTGCTTGTGGAAACCGTGCTGGGTGTGTCTGCCCATCAGACACCGGATCTTGCAACACTATCAATAAAAGTCTCACTTTCGGCCAGGCGGGGTGGCTCACGCCTGTAATCCCAGCACTTTGGGAGGCCGAGGTGGGTGGATTACCTGAGGTCAGGAGTTCGAGACCAGCCTGGCCAACATGCTGAAACACCGTCTCTACTAAGAATACAAAAATTAGCTGGGCATGGGGACACATGCCTGTAATCCCAGCTACTCAGGAGGCTGAGGCAGGAGAATTCATTGAGCCCAGGAGATGGAGTCCAGAGTGCACCACTGCACTCCAGCCTGGCCAATTGAGTGAGACTCTGTCTTTAAAAAAAAAAAAAAAGAAAGAAAATCTCACTTCTTCTATTTTTCAGCTCCCTGAGTCCATTCTTTGGGTTTGGACTGGTGAGTTTGTTTCTCACATCAGAAAACCAACATTTCCTTAGAAGTTAAAGAAGGGTGGTCTTACCTGGGCATCATCATCATCATCCAAATAATCATCTTCACTTCGTGGTAGGCTTAATAAACTCAAGTTGTCCTCAGAAGAACCTGGAAGGACACAGAGGAAAGATCAGTGCCCTGGGTGTTTGTGACTGTGAGTCACTCAGGGAGCTCTGCTGGATGTGGTGTACGGAGGTGGTTGATTAACAAGCCTGGACTGCGTTGATGCTGGGCTATTCCCCTGAGTGGAAGAGGGATGGCAGACGAGGGGATCAGGAAAGACATGAGACATGGAGGCCTTGGCCTTGTACTAGAGGCATCATGCAGCAACACAAAACAGTCAATCCAAAATGGAACTAAACCACAACTAAGGGTCAATGGAAGAGTGCCTTCTTCCCTCTCAAATGTCTTGAAACTCTACAAAACAAACAGCATTTTCTTAACGTATTCAAGACCGTGTAAGTACACTAGTACCCAATTATGCTGGTACCACATCTAGCATCTGTTTTAAAGGATTACTTAATTTATTGGTGAAATGGATTCAATTTTACTCAAATTACTCTATTCCATTGATCACACTTTTTTTTTTTTTCTGAGATGGAATGTCACTTTGTACCCCAGGCTAGAGTGCAGTGGTGTGATCTTGGCTCACTGCAAGATCCGCCTCCCAGGTTTATGCCATTCTCCTACCTCAGCATCCCGAGTAGCTGGGACTACAGGCACCCACCACCACGCCCAGCTAGTTTTTTTGTATTTTTAGTAGAGACGGGGTTTCACTGTGTTAGCCAGGATGGTCTCCATCTCCTGACCTCGTGATCCACCCACCTCGGCCTCCCAAAGTGCTGGGATTACAGGCATGAGCCACCACACCAGACTGATCACAATTTCTTCTTCATAGAGGTCATTAAAAAAATTAAGTATTAAAATGCTAAAATTAAAAACAGTCATGATTTCTTCCTTATAAGTCTTCTTCTGGAACTATGGTGTGTGCACACAACCTTTTGGCTCCTTCTGATCAGGGTCTTCAGCAGCTCTGTGTCACTTTCCCTCAGGAGATTCCCTAAAGATCAGGCTTCATTCTAACAGGCCAAGCTCACACAGCCTGCGCAACCTACACCAGTGAAGCTGAGAGATGTGACTCTGAAAACTTTCTGCCATGAGGATAACTTTCCAGGTTCAAATATACATGATCTACTGAAACGAGGAAATGTATACCAATAGAAATGAACAAATTCATGAAGAAATGTCCTTGAGTACGGAGGTGATTTTTGGTTAACTAGCTTATATAATATTTTTTATTTGATGCCTAATCATTCACACATACAAAATATTGATAAAAGATATCACAAATTTGGCCAGGTGCGGTGGCTAATGCCTGTAATCCCAGGCTTTGGGAGGCCTAGGTGGGTGGATCATAAGGTCAAGAGATCGAGACCATCCCGGCCAACATGGTAAAATCACGTCTCTAATAAAAATACAAAAATTAGCTGGACGTGGCGGCACGCACCTGTGGTCTCCGCTACTTGGGAGAATAAGGCAGGGGAATCACTTGAACCTGGGAGTGGAGGTGACAGTGAGTGGAGATCTCATCATTGCACCCCAGTATGGTGACAGAGTGAGACACTGTCTCAAAAAAAAAAAGAAATCACAGATTTATATCAGTCATGTTAAATCTAACTAATCAGCTGACAACATAAAGGTTCTAGAAAGTAAAGAATGCACAAATAAGTTGAAAGGCTTCCCGTATTCATGGATAGGAAGACTAAACCTGATTAACACACAATGCACACATGATCTACAGACTCACAACAATTGCTATCAAACTGGCAGCAGCCATCCGTGCAGAAATGGAAAAGATAATCCTAAGACGTTAATGAATTTTTATATGCCTCAAATAACCATGGTAACATTGAAAAAGAATAGTGTTGGAAGACGCACATTCATGAGGTTGAAATCTACAAAAAACACAGAAATTCAGACAGCATGCTTCTAGCGTGGGGGCACCCATAAGTATCACAGATATAGAATCGAAAGCTAAGAATTAAATGCACACATACAGAGTCAGCTGATCTTCAACAGAGGTGCCAAGAATACACAATGGGGAAAGGAAAGCCTCTTCCACAAATGATGGTAAAACTGCATATTCTCATTCACATGAAGAAATGGAATGCTGACAGTGTGCTCAAGGTTGTGCTTCTTTCTCCATTTCCAAGACACCAGCTTTTGCAGTGAGCCCAGAGTGAATTTTCATTCTGTCCTCCATGCCCAGGGAGATGCCCTGACACCAGAGGTAAACAGCAAGGACAGACAAATGAATGTGCTGCCATGAAACCCAACAGTTCATAAGGTGAGGATCCACTTCTCCTATGCATCTGGGCACACCGCAGAACAATTCTGTCTCCAGGATTAAGTAACTGCCTGTGACAGAACTGTGTCCCAAACCAAAGGCTGTGATATTTTGCAGTGGCACAGGCAGAAAAGAGCAGGTGTTCTCAGAAAAATCATCTTTCAATAATAAAATAAGAAGAGATGATGAAAAACACAAGATACTCAAAAGCCCATAAACATAGTACTCCTCACCATGATGACGTTAAACTCTGAAAATAACTAACGCGGCTTATGTCTACTTTTTCTTTTTCTCTTTTCTACACCATCCCTGAGCCTCCTAAGCAGCAGGTATAACATGAAGGTTCCTGGAAATGCTGTTTTATTAGATCCCATCTGATGTCTTGTTGCCTACCTGGAAAGGCATCCTCTTCCCTGCTGAGATTCTCCAGAATCCACTCTTTAGAACCACCAACATCACGATAAGTCACTGAGAGGTGCACTCACTTCTCCTACTCCAGGTGAAGACACACTGGCTCACACAAAATCTCCTGGTTGGTCCTTTGGGTTCACACACATTTCTACAGCCCCTCTGCTCATACCTATACACTTGTGAAATCATTTGCTCTCACCAGACTCCCAACATTTTTTAACAGGAACCCAGATTAAGGTTTCTATATATTAAAGCCAGCAAGTTTGTTTCTCAGAAAGTGAGTTAGTTCAAGGTACGTACCCTGCACAGGTGATGGTAAAATCTGCAATGAGACAAAAGAAGATGCCATGAGGATTAGATCAATTCTGCTGCACCCCTTACACAGATCTGTTAGTCTCCTGATGACTTCACAAAACTACTTGTGAAACAGTGGTGAGTCAAGGTCAAAGGCCAAACATTCTAGCATAGAGGACACCTGTGGAAAAGACAAGAGCTTTTCCCACAGAATTTCTTTGAAGTTGATTTAGGTTGGTAAATGCACAAGGCCTCATCCAAGGAGAAAAACTGGTGTGGAGGAAAACGCCTCTGCATTACAGCTGGTGATGGACGCTGTCCTCAAAACCACCCTAGTGTGTCATGTATGAGATGAAAAGAAACTCAGACCGAACTCCACCCTCACAAAGAGAATTGTGTATGTTGTACATAATGTGCCTTGTCATATTTTAATACCAAAATTAATTGAGAACGAATGAAATCAGGTGAAGGAAATAATGTATACAGTTGTCCATTTTTAACACAAAGTGCCTTGAACCAGTTCAGGTCAGCAAAGGACAAAAGAAATAGGATATACTAGGCTCCCGCTTGGATGGGCAATGCCTGCTTGTTGGACCCCCATTCTCCACTTAGTTGCCCTCACTTCAACCAAAGAAGATTAGTCTAAGATGAAAGTTTACTGGCCTGGAAAATCGCTCATTTTGTCTGTTCTTATCAGCCTGCCCAGCTACTTAGGTCATAAGGCAAACACCTGAAGAGCCCCTGAGCTGACTAGGATGGTAATGCATTGTGGGCTGTAACAAAATGCAGTAAGACAACCATAGAAAAATACCTAAAACCTCCTCCCCCAAAATCAATAGGCAACACCTGGGAAGACTGTGACCCCATAGTACTCAGTCTACGAGGAACCAGGGGAGGGACCTGCACACTAGGGGATAAATTGCTCGTGGAAACTGTGCTGGGTGTGTCTGCCCATCAGACACCGGATCTTGCAACACTATCAATAAAAGTCTCACTTTCGGCCAGGCGGGGTGGCTCACGCCTGTAATCCCAGCACTTTGGGAGGCCGAGGTGGGTGGATTACCTGAGGTCAGGAGTTCGAGACCAGCCTGGCCAACATGCTGAAACACCGTCTCTACTAAGAATACAAAAATTAGCTGGGCATGGGGACACATGCCTGTAATCCCAGCTACTCAGGAGGCTGAGGCAGGAGAATTCATTGAGCCCAGGAGATGGAGTCCAGACTGCACCACTGCACTCCAGCCTGGCCAATTGAGTGAGACTCTGTCTTTAAAAAAAAAAAAAAAAAAAGGAAAGAAAATCTCACTTCTTCTATTTTTCAGCTCCCTGAGTCCATTCTTTGGGTTTGGACTGGTGAGTTTGTTTCTCACATCAGAAAACCAACATTTCCTTAGAAGTTAAAGAAGGGTGGTCTTACCTGGGCATCATCATCATCATCCAAATAATCATCTTCACTTCGTGGTAGGCTTAATAAACTCAAGTTGTCCTCAGAAGAACCTGGAAGGACACAGAGGAAAGATCAGTGCCCTGGGTGTTTGTGACTGTGAGTCACTCAGGGAGCTCTGCTGGATGTGGTGTAGGGAGGTGGCTGATTAACAAGCTTGGACTGCGTTGATGCTGGGCTATTCCCCTGAGTGGAAGAGGGATGGCAGACGAGGGGATCAGGGAAGACATGAGACATGGAGGCCTTGGCCTTGTACTAGAGGCATCATGCAGTAACACAAAACAGTCAATCCAAAATGGAACTAAACCACACACTAAGGGTCAATGGAAGAGTGCCTTCCTCCGTCTCAAATGTTTTGAAACTCTACAAAACAAACAGCATTTTCTTAACGTATTCAAGACCGTGTAAGTACACTAGTACCCAATTATGCTGGTACCACATTTAGCATCTGTTTTAAAGGATTACTTAATTTATTGGTGAAATGGATTCAATTTTACCCAAATTACTCTATTCTCTTGATCACACTTTTTTTTTTTTTTTTTCTGAGATGGAATGTCACTTTGTACCCCAGGCTAGAGTGCAGTGGTGTGACCTTGGCTCACTGCAAGATCTGCCTCCCAGGTTTATGCCATTCTCCTACCTCAGCATCCCGAGTAGCTGGGACTACAGGCACCCACCACCACGCCCAGCTAGTTTTTTTGTATTTTTAGTAGAGACGGGGTTTCAGTGTGTTAGCCAGGATGGTCTCCATCTCCTGACCTCGTGATCCACCCACCTCGGCCTCCCAAAGTGCTGGGATTACAGGCATGAGCCACCGCACCAGACTGATTACAATTTCTTCTTCATAGAGGTCATTTAAAAAATTAAGTATTAAAATGCTAAAATTAAAAACAGTCATGATTTCTTCCTTATAAGTCTTCTTCTGGAACTATGGTGCGTGCACACAACCTTTTGGCTCCCTCTGATCAGGGTCTTCAGCAGCTCTGTGTCACTTTCCCTCAGGAGATTCCCTAAAGATCAGGCTTCATTCTAACAGGCCAAGCTCACACAGCCTGCGCAACCTACACCAGTGAAGCTGAGAGATGTGACTCTGAAAACTTTCTGCCATGAGGATAACTTTCCAGGTTCAAATATACATGATCTACTGAAACGAGGAAATGTATACCAATAGAAATGAACAAATTCATGAAGAAATGTCCTTGAGTACGGGGGTGATTTTTGGTTAACTAGCTTATATAATATTTTTTATTTGATGCCTAATCATTCACACATACAAAATATTGATAAAAGATATCACAAATTTGGCGAGGCACGGTGGCTCATGTCTGTAATACCAGGCTTTGGGAGGCCTAGGTGGGTGGATCATGAGGTCAAGAGATCGAGACCATCCCGGCCAACATGGTAAAATCACGTCTCTAATAAAAATACAAAAATTAGCTGGACGTGGTGGCACGCACCTGTGGTCTCTGCTACTTGGGAGGATAAGGCAGGAGAATCACTTGAACCTGGGACATGGAGGTGGCAGTGAGTGGAGATCACATCATTGCACCCTAGTACGGTGACAGAGTGAGACACTGTCTCAAAAAAAAAAAAAAGAAATCACAAATTTGTATCAGTCATGTTAAATCTAACTAATCAGCTGACAACATAAAGATTCTAGAAAGTAAAGAATGCACAAATAAGTTGAAAGGCTTCCCGCATTCATGGATAGGAAGACTAAACCTGATTAACACACAATACAAACATGATCTACAGACTCACAACAATTGCTATCAAACTGGCAGCAGCCATCCGTGCAGAAATGGAAAAGATAATCCTAAGACGTTAATGAATTTTTATATGCCTCAAATAACCATGGTAGCACTGAAAAAGAATAGCGTTGGAAGACACACATTCATGAGGTTGAAATCTACAAAAAACACAGAAATTCAGACAGCATGCTTCTAGCGTGGGGGCACCCATAAGTATCACGGATATAGAATCGAAAGCCAATAATTAAATGCACACATACAGAGTCAGCTGATCTTCAACAGAGGTGCCAAGAATACACAATGGGGAAAGGAAAGCCTCTTCCACAAATGATGGTAAAACTGCATATTCTCATTCACATGAAGAAATGGAATGCTGACAGTGTGCTCAAGGTTGTACTTCTCTCCATTTCCAAGACACCAGCTTTTGCAGTGAGCCTAGAGTGAATTTTCATTCTGTCCTCCATGCCCATGGAGATGCCCTGACACCAGAGGTAAACAGCAAGGACAGACAAATGAATGTGCTGCCATGAAACCCAACAGTTCATAAGGTGAGGATCCACTTCTCCTATGCATCTGGGCACACCACAGACGAATTCTGTCTCCAGGATTAAGTAACTGCCTGTGACAGAACTGTGTCCCAAACCACAGGCTCTGACATTTTGCAGTGGCACAGGTAGAAAAGAGCAGGTGTTCTCAGAAAAATCATCTTTCAATAATAAAACAAGAAGAGATGATCAAAAACACAAGATACTCAAAAGCCCATAAACATAGTACTTCTCACCATGAAGACATTAAACTCTGAAAATAACAAACGTGGCTTATATTTACTTTTCCTTTTTCTCTTTCTACACCATCCCTGAGCCTCCCAAGCAGCAGGTAAAACATGAAGGTTCCTGGAAATGCTGTTTTATTAGATCCCATCTGATGTCTTGTTACCTACCTGGAAAGGCATCCTCTTCCCTGCTGAGATTCTCCAGAATCCACTCTTTAGAACCACCAACATCACGATAAGTCACTGAGAGGTGCACTCACTTCTCCTACTCCAGATGAAGACACATCGGCTCACACAAAATCTCCCGGCTGGTCCTCTGGGTTCACACACATTTCTACAGCCCCTCTGCTCATACCTATACACTTGTAAAATCATTTGCTCTCACCACACCCCCAATATTTTTAACAGGAACCCAGATTAAGGTACCTATATATTAAAGCCAGCAAGTAGGTTTCTCAAAAAGTGAGCTAGTTCAAGGTACGTACCCTGCACACGTGATGGTAGAATCTGCAACGAGACAAAAGAAGATGCTATGAGGATCAGATCAATTCTGCTGCACCCCTTCCACAGATCTGTTAGTCTCTTGATGACTTCACAAAACTACTTTTGAAACAGTGGCTGAGTCCATGTCAAAGACAATACACTCCTAGCATAGGGAAAAGACAAGAGCTTTTCCCACAGAATTTCTTTGAAGTTGATTTAGATTGGTAAAGTCACAATGCCTAATTCAAAACTGGCGTGGAGGAAAATCCCTCTGCATTACAGTTGATGATGGATGCTGTCATTTATAAACATCCTAGTGTGTCATGTATTAGATGGGAAGACGTTCCCACTGAACTCCACCCCAAGAAGGACTGTTGTGTATGTTGTACATTATATGCCTCATCATATTCTTATGTCAAAATTAATTGAGAAGGAAAGAAATCAGGTGAAGGAAATAATATATACTGTGGTCCATTTTTAAAACAAAGTGCCTTGAACCTGTTTAGGTCAGCAAAGGACAGAAGAAACACTAGGCTCCTGGTTGGATAGGCAATGCCGCCTTGTGGGGTCCCCCTTCCACCCTGCTTAGTTGTCCTCACTTTAACAAAGAAGTTTAGTCTAAGTTGAAAGTTTTCTGGCCTGCAAAATAGCTCATTTTGTCTGTTCTTATCAGCCTGCTCAGCTACTTAGGTCACAAGTCAAATACTGGAAGAGCCCCTGAGCTGACTAGGATGGCAATGCATTGTGGGCTTCAACAAAATGCGGTAAGACAACCATAAAAAAAAAAAAATACCTAAAGCCCCTACCGAAAAATCAATATGTGATACCCAGGAAGATTGTGACCCCATAGTACTCAGCCTATGAGGAACTAGGGGAAGGACCTGCACATTAGGGGATAAATTGCTTGCTGAAACTGTGCTGGGTGTGTCTGCCCATCAGACACCCGATCTTGCAAGACCATCATTAAAAGTCTCACTTTCTCTATTCTGCAGGCCTCTGAGTCCATTCTTTGGGTGTGGATGGGTGAGTTTGTTTCTCACATCAGGAAAGTTGCATTTCCTTAGAAGGCAAAGAAAGGGGGTCTTACCTGGGTATCGTCATTGTCTTCCTCACTTGGTGGTAGAGATTTTAAACTCAGGCTGTCCTCAGGGGGACCTAAAAGGACACAGTTAATGTCAGTGCCCTGGTGGTTGGAGACTGTGAGTCCCTCAGGGAGCTTTGCTGGATGCGGCATATGGAGCGTGGGACTGAAGATTCTGAGACCATCTCAGAGAAACAACTATGTTCAAGTGGTGAGCATGAGGGAGTCTCACCAGATACCTCGCATCTTAGTCAGTGCCTGGACCTAATAAGACTCCTGCATTCCCAAGTCAAAGATCAAGGCTTTGATATTTGCTCTGACATAGACAGGAAAAGCTGGTCTTCTGGAAAGATAACCATTAAACACCAGAGCAAGAAAAAAAAAATGGTTACAAACACAGCACACAAAGCCCATGGACACAAATCGCCTCATCTCTAGCTTATTAAAATACAAAAGGAACAAGTCAGACTTCTACACATATTTCCTTTGGTTCTGACTTCATTGCCCTTTTCTTAGGTTCCAAAGCAACAGGTGTCACCCAACTGCTCCCAGAGATCCTCCTAGAGTATCATTCTACACCTGCAGATCTGCCTCACTGCAGCTGCCCTCATGGACAGTGTCCATTGGCCAATGTTTAGAGACAAAAACTCCACAAGAAGTTATTCCAGAGAGCAACTCGCCCACCCTCCTACTCCAGGTGAGGCCACACTGGGTTACACGAGATCACTCTGCCCTTCCCTCGGTGTTGTCAGACTCTCCCTGGGCTCTGGGGAGTCAGAGGTCTCTAGAAAGGCATCGCTCACACTTGCCAGCCTTCAAGTGAGAAACAGGAACTGAAGGAACCATGTTTCAACTTTTTCCTTCTACTGGCCCATTATAGGTCTCGCCTCCAATCTCACAGCCCTGAGATTCCCACTTTGATGTGCACGCTTTGAGTTAGAGTTCAACAATCGGCCCCTCAGCCAGGCTCACAGCAGATGTGAAAGAGCATTCTGTGGGGATGGAAATCTCTCCGCTGCATGAACAGAAAGCTGCTGGGTCATTGCACGGTGGCTGTTGTGATAAGGTTCTTTTTTCTTTTTTAATTTTTTGAGACGGAGGTTCACTCTTGCTGCCCAGGCTGGAGTACAATGGCATGATCTCAGCTCACTGCAACCTCCACCTCCCGGGTTTAGGCGACTCTTCTGCCTCAGCCTCCCGCGTAGCTGGGATTACAAGCGTGCGCCACCACACATGGCTAATTTTTGCATTTTTAGTAGAGATGGGGTTTCACCATGTTGGCCAGACTGGTCTCGAACTCCTGACCTCAGCTGATCCACCCACCCCAGCCTCCAAAAGTGCTAGAATTACAAGTGTGAGACACCACGTCAGGCCCTGAACTTTTAACTGTAAATATTTAAATGTATTTAAATATGAGGAGGCGCACGTATGACTGAGAACTGCACTAGATGGCACAGGAGATCCAGACATGAGGAAGACATGAACCCCCTCCCCTGCTGTTTTCTAGCAAAATGGTTTGCAGCTCTGCTCCTACCATACATTTATGGTTACTTCCTGGGCATCTACACAAGGCCCAGTCACTGTGTGGGGCTGGGGATATGACAACAATGAGGACAACGTCCAGGTCCAGAGGGATTCCAGCAGAGGGCACGCGTGCACACAGGAAGACCGTGGCCCTGCACTCCCTGTCTATGACCGGATCAGAGCAGCAGGAGCCCAGGGGCAGGGGCACCTCATTGTCCTCAGGAGCTCAACCTCATCTCCAGGGACCCTGACTCAGAAGCTGGGGCAGGCTCCAGGGTTGGTGTAGGGCTCAACAGGCTGGACAGATTGAGAAGGGAACATTTCCACAACTGCGCTAGATCCCAGCCCAGGGCTGACCTAGAACTCACCCCAGGGATGAGTTCACTACAATGCCCATGGGGCCTAACATGTTCTCCCCAGGACTGAGCTCTGGGGTAAGGACTAATGAGGAAGACACAGTCACTGCCCTGGCAGGAAACACCCATAGCCAGGGTTCCTCTATCCACCCTGTGGGAAGACACAACACAGAGTTTGACACTGAAGATTCCAAACCTTCTATAAAATAACTGGAAACTGATGTGTTCTGGATTCCACAGAAGAGTTGCAAGGATGAGCTGGACTCTGGAATCAGTCCCCATCCCTTTGCTGAGCTCCTGGTGCACTGGAACTCGTGTCCCTCCCCACCTCCCCTGCTACTCGGGAGTGCTGCAGCTACAGGCCCAGTGCTAAGGGGTCTGTCCAGTTGAAAGACATTTCAGTCAGGCACGGTGGCTCATGCCTGTGAGCTTTGGAAGGCCAAGGCGAGCAGATCACCTGATGTCAGAAGTTTGAGACCAGCCTGGCCAACATGCAGAAACCTCATCTCTGCTACAAATACAAAAATTAGCTTGGCATAGTGGCACATGTCTGTAATTCCAGCTACTCGGCAGGCTGATGCAGGAGAATCACTTGAACTTGGGAGGTAGACGTTGCAGTGAGCTGAGATTGCACCACTGATGCAGGAGAATCACTTGAACTTGGGAGGTAGACGTTGCAGTGAGCTGAGATTGCACCACTGCACTCCAGCCTGGGCAACAGAGACTCCATCTCAAAACACACACACAGACACACACAGACACACACACAGACACACACACACAGACACACACACACACACACACACACACACACACACACACCCGGCCCCGGGCCAGACAACCCTTGGCCAACAGTGTCTCCTCAAGGACCATTCCTCAAGTGACTCCCAGAAGAGGTGAAAAAGAAAACTCTTCTGTCCCAGCCCTAGGAAGATCAGGCCTGGGACCTGTCTGTGTCTGTCCTGACCCTGAAGTCCATCCCTGCTGACTTGTGTCCTGTCTGCTCTGTGTCAGAGAAGTGGGGACCTGATTCCTGTTCTGGCTCCTCACCAACTTCTGCTGGTGTCACTGCCATCATCACACAAAGACATGGAGAAGACAAGAGAAAGTGATGAAACTCCATTCTTGAGGCATTCAGGATGATGTCCACACCATGCTCTCAGCAGACAGGAAGGCCAGATCCTGCTCACTCCTACTCGGAATGGGTCTCAGAGATACGAGTACTAACATTGTGATATTTATCCTCTTCTCTTTGTTTTTCTTTTTTTTGAGGCGGAGTCTTGCTCCGTCATTCAGGCTGGAGTGTAATGGCTCGATCTCGGTTCACTGCAACCTCTGCCTCCTGGGTTCAAGTGATTCCTCTGCCTCAGCCTCCTGAGTCGCTGGGATTACAGGCATCCATCACTACACCCAGCTAATTTTTGTATTTTCAGAAGAGACAGGGTTTCACCAGGTTGGCCAGGCTGGTCTTGAACTCCTAACCTCAGGCAATCCATCCACCTCGGGCAATCCACCCACCTCAATCTCCCAAAGTGCTGGGATGACAGGCATGAGCTGCCACGCCCAGCCCATGTCTTCCGTTTCTTTACACTGTGTGTGCGTCCACTGAGTCAGTGGCTGCTGATGCTCACCCCAGCCCCCGACAGTGGGACAGTCCATCACGGGGATCAGTACCTGGTGAGTGCTGAGCCTCACTCACCTAGCTGTGCAGGAGGTCTCCAGTGAGGGTGATGGGCACCAGGCTGATAATAATGTTGTCCTGAGTTCTGATGTGGCACTGGCCCTTGTCTGTCTGCTATGGATTGGAGCATCTTTTTATTTATTTCTTTATTTTTCTGAGACAGAGTCTCACTCTGTCACCCAGGCTGGAGTGTGCAGTGGCTCGATCTTGGCTCACTGCAAACTCCACCTCCCAGGTTCAAGTGATTCTCCAGCCTCAGTCTCCCAAGTAGCTGGGATTACAGGTATGGGCCACCATGGCTGGCTAATCTTTGTATTTTTAGTAGAGACAGGCTTTCACCATGTTGGCCAGGCTGGTCTCAAACTCCTGACCTCAGGTGATCCACTGCCTCGGCCTCCCAAAGTGCTGGGATTACAGGCATGAACCACCATGCCCAGCCATGGATTGGAGCATTTCTAAGGCCTGCGGTAGTCCTGTTATTAAATACAATGCAATATCTTCCTGATCTTCCCTGCTTTGACCAAGTGCTGAGGAATGAGCCCAGCACTGACAGATGTTGACCTGCACTGTTCTACATGATCCCTTACACTTCTCAGAATCTGTGAACTGGCCAGAAGCCTGTGGGCTTTCTATGTGTATTTCACAGTAATGTCGAAGCCAACATCTGTTCTTCCGTGTACCTTTTGCCACCCACGGTTATGTGACCACTGGGGCCCCATTTGATGATGGGCAAAGTTTGGCAGCTTATAGGCCACACAATTCCAGGGGCACACATAGGTGCTGGAGCTCCCTGGTGTGGGGTCCTGTCACCAAGCCTGGGTGATGACACAGTTGAGTAATACAGACCATCAACATTGGGACCCATTTCTGGGTTCACTTTTGCCTCCTCCATTCAGGAGGTCAGAATCTGGGTTCACTCCTTTCTGCACTCTCTCCATCTAAGGAGTAGGGATATTGAACATACCTTTAGGTACAGCTGTGGTGAGGGAGGAAAGAGGTCATTTATGTAAAGAGTATGGTGGTGCTGAAGTTTCTCTTCCTTTCTATTAGTAGAATGACATGACTTGGGAGGCTGAGGTGAGATGACTACATAGGCCAGGAATTCAAAAAAAGTGACACTTGTGCTGTGCTGGGCATGCAGGGCCACAATTTTTGGGGAAAACACACATTTACAAACACTCACACTCACTACGCATGGATTCACCCCTAGCTACCTCCCAACCCTCCTGCACACAAACCCACACCATTTAAATGATACGGCTGTTTCCAGGGTCTCCAGTGGATGATCACAGTTCTTCACTGAGCCATCTGCTCCTCACACTGCACTCCAGGTCCTCACTCTTATCAGGAACCAGAAGCCAGGCAGGCTCTCCAGACAAAAACAGGCAAGAGAGTCCCCCGCGACCCATCACTTAAGATTTGTCATCAGCAAGGGAGTGGTCTTAGAATATGAATAGTGTTAGAGAGGAGAACAACACACACTGGGGCCTGTCAGGGGACAGGTGAAGGGAGAGCATCTGGATAAACAGCTAATGCACGCAGGGCTTCATACCTAGGTGATGGACTGACAGGTGCAGCAAACCACCATGGCACACTTTTACCCATGTAACAAACCTGTACATCCTGCACATGTATCTCAGAACTTAAAAAAAATTAAATTACGGGCTGGGCGTGGTGGTTCATGCCTGTAATCCCAGTACTTTTGGAGGCTGAGGCAGGTGGATCACGAGGCCAGGAGATAGAGACTGCCCTGGCTAACACGGTGAAACCCTGTCTCTACTAAAAATATAAACAATTAGCCGGGCGTGGTGGCGGGCACCTGTAGTCCCTACTCCGGAGGCTGAGGCAGGAGAATCGCTTGATCCCAGGAGGCAGAGGTTGCAGTGAGCTGAGATCGCACCACTGCACTACAGCTTGGGCAACAGAGCGAGACTCCATCTAAATAAATTAATTAAATAAATAAATAAAATAAAAATAAGCTACCTTAAGGGATGGGAGAAAAGAAACAATCTGACCCTTACCTGGTTCCTTCATTTAGGTACCAAACTGGCTAGATAGGTCGGCTAGAGAATGGGACAGGGACTCCAAAATTGGGGTATTTGAATTTTCATTGAGAAAAGGGCTGTCCCTTTTCTAGATCAAAAAGCCTCAACGACAAAGACAAGAGGCAGAGTCAGCCTTTGCCCCCATGTCCCAGGTCTGGGAGAGCTGGCTATGGGCAGGAGGGAGCTGGAAGCTGAGGATGTCTCTGGGGATGAGGCTATGGGAAGGGGGTGAGGGTGGCCACAGTGTGCCAGAGAGTAAATGACACCCGTGGCTTTTTTACCTGTGGGCATCTTTTGGTTGCTGATGTGCTGCAGGTCGTGGCCCTCCGTGGCTCCCACATCCAGCTTGCCAGGCTCTACAGTAGTGGATTCTGATGTTGCAGCAGCCACAGCCTCATAAGTATCAGATTCATAACAGGGTTCCTCCTCCCCCTTGCACCAGCCACAGCTGGAGTCGATACAACAGGTCAGTATACACCCCATGGGGCACCCACAATTCACTCCTGCCTGAGCCTTTGATGAAACTGAAACGGTGCTGTCCGAGCAGCCACAGTACTGAGGCTGGCACAGCACTTGTAGAAGCAGCCTGACTCCAGGCAGATCTGGGGCCTCAGCCCGTACTTTGCCGCCACCTTCTAAGGTGGCGGGTCTATGAGGTCGGGGACCTGCTGTCTTCTCTGAAAAATAAACAAACACGACAAGCACTGAGAGGCACAAAAACTGCTGGGACACAGCACAGTCAGAGCTCCTCCTCCTCCTCCTCCTAGCTACTGACTGAGGGCTGCTGGCCCTGGCTGATGCCTATAACCCACAAAGCTTCCTGTGTCACCTGGTTACCAGGAAACAGCCAGGCCAGGCTAGTGACTCACAATGTCCAGCCCCACAGCCCCACCCAAGGCCTCACAATGCCCATCCCTGCTGCTGCCCACCTTGTGGCCACCCTGCCCCTCTGTGCTGACTGCACTACTCAGGCTTTTATTCACCCTGGGCTGCCTGAGCTTTCCAGTCCTGAGAAAAGTGCAGGGGGGGTTGCTATTGGAAGTCACCCTTGGCGAGAAACTCAATAGAAAACCCTGGTACAGCCGGGAGTGGTGGCTCACGCCTGTAATCCTAGCACTTTGGGAGGCTGAGGGGGGTGGATCACCCGAGGTCAGGAATTTGAGACCAGCTTGGCCAACATGGTGAAGCCCCATCTCTACTAAAAATACAAAACATTAGCTCAGTGTGGTGGCGGGCACCTGTAATCCCAGCTACTCAGGAGGCTGAGGCAGGAGAATTGCTTGAATCCAGGAGGTGGAGGTTGTACAGTGAGCCAAGATCGCACCATTGCACTCCAGCCTGGGTGACAAAGGTGAAACTGTCTGAAAAACAAAACTAAAAAAACAAAAAAACAAAATAAAGAAAACCCCGGTTACTAAAGTCAGTTCCACCAGCATTTCTGTTTTTCTAAGCCTGACAGTTTTCATTTGTTCACCAAATGTAGTTATACACAAATTTTTGACTGCTTTTCTAACTAAATGCTTCTCTCCTGTCTTACAAGTGTTAGTTCTTGTCTGCAACTTGACCATAGTTAGCCCCAGGGCCCTGGTCCCACTCTCAGTAGAGAGTCATGGCTGTGTATCCTGAATGAAAGCCTGGGACACATCACACTTTCCCCTCCTGGTCTATAAAATAGGGACTGAACACATCCTTCCCAGCTCTGTAATGCTACGACTTACCAACTCCCTTTTCTTCCTGTTTCTTCTTTCCATGACAGGGGTACTCAGATATTTCTTTTATTTACTTATTTATTTTTTGAGACGGAGTGTTGCTCTGTCCACCAGGCTAGAGTGCAGTGGCATGATCTCGGCTCATTGCAACCTCCACCTCCCAGGTTCAAGCGATTCTCCAGCACCAGCCTCCCGAGTAGCTGGGACTACAGGTGCATGCCATCACATCTGGCTAATTTTTGTATTTTCAGTAGAGATGAGGGTTTCATCATGTTGGTCAGGCTAGTCTTGATCTCCTGACCTCAAATGACGGGCCTGCCTTGGCCTCCCAAAGTGCTGGGATTATAGGCATGAGCCACCACCTCTGGCCTCAGATATTTCTTTCACTAACAAATCATAAAGTTTTATTTTCTTATACAAAATTGAGAACCCCACAGTGGGGTACCATTGGCCTCATAGGATAAAGATGAACAGTCAACATCTGGCAAGTATTATGTACCTGACTGTTCCAACTGTGGCATACTCATTTAACCCTCAGAAACAGTCCCATTGTACACATTTTCGAAAAGTCAAGTAACTTCCCCAAGGTTCCATGACTGCTCAGTGAGTTTAGGCAGATGAGCAAACAAAGGCTTAGAGTTCAGTTGTCTGAGGCTACACTGCTGGACAGTGGATGAACCTGGAATACAAAGGCTCATTCACTGTCCAGCACTAAAGTTTAAGTAGAGTTTAAATTTTGTTCTGGAAACATGAGACTCACTGAACCACACAGAGGTGAGGAGTCCCTATCAGACGTGTTTGCAGTGAGGTCTCTCTGCACAATAGAGGACTGACAGAAGCAATGGGACCAATTAAGAGACATTATGTTGGGAGGCTGAGGTGGGTGGATCATTTGCGGTCAGGAGTTCAAGACCAGCCTGGCTAATATGGTGAAACCCCATCTCTACTAAAAATATAAAAATTAACCTGGCGTGGTGGCGGGTGTCTGTAGTCCCATCTACTCCAGAGCCTGAGGCAGGAGAATTGTTTGAACCCGGGAGTTAGAGGTTGCAGTGAGCCAAGATCATACCATTGAACTCCAGCCTGGGCGACAGAGAGAGATTATGTCTCAAAAAAAAAAAAAGAGAGAGAGAGACATTATGTTCATCTGGAAGAACAGATAAGGCTAAAGGCAGTGGAAATGACTGAAGTGGATGGAAAAGTCTTTTGATCATTTGGGAGAGAGAACAGGAAGCGCTAGATGATTAGATGTGGAAGAACAGGGGAAGTAAAAGGAAAAACAGGCTGCTGAGGTTGTAGTATGAAGGACTGGGTAAACAGCAGTGACTTTCTCCTACACAGAGAATGTAGGAAGAGGAATAGGTATGGGGAATAAGATAGTTTTCAGCTGGGCGCAATGACTCATGCCTGTAATCCCAGCACTTTGGGAGGCCAAGCTGGGTGGATTATGAGGTCAGGAGTTCGAGACCAGCCTGGCCAATATGGTGAAATTCCATCCCTACTAAAGTTAAAAAAATTAGCCGGGAGCGATGACGGGTGCCTGTAGTACCAGCTACTTGGGAGACTGAGGCAGGAGAATCACTTGGACCCAGGTGGTGGAGTTTGCAGTAAGCCAAGATCGTGCCATTGCACTCTAGCCTGAGTGACAGAGCGAGACTCCGTCTCAAAAAGAAAAAAAAAAAAAGAAAAGATAGTTTTGGACTCTTAAGTATTGCATTGTAAGGGAGCTCTCTGGTAGAAAGTTAGAAACCTCTGTATGCTAAGTCCATTCTGTGACATCACAACTCATGTTTTAAAAATATACACACAAAGTCAAACCATCACGGAAATTTCCTAAAATTTACATACTAAAATATGACAACTTTTTAGTTATTACCTTCTTAGAGCAACTTTGAATTTATGATTGTAGCAAATGAGGTGTCATGTAAAATAAAGTTGTTATATAAAAATGACATTTAAATTTTATTGTCATCAGAGCATATAAAAAAAAACAATTGAACCCATGGGTATGGCAAGGATTGCTTTAAAAAGCTGTGTCTAATGAGGGGAGTTGGAAAGAAAGGAGACTTGGTGGCCAGGTGCAGTGGCTCACACCTGTAATCCCAACAGTTTGGGAGGCCTACTCACGCGGATCACCTGAGGTCAGGAGGAGTTCGAGACGAGCCTGGCCAACATGGTGAAACCCTGTCTCTACTAAAAATACAAAAATTAGCTGGGCGTGGTGGTGGACACCTGTAATCCCAGCTATTCGGGAGGCCGAGGCAGGAGAATTGCTTGAACCCAGGAGATGGACGTTGCAGTGAGCTGAGATGGTGCCACTGCACACCAGCCTGGGTGACAGAGCAAGACTCTGTCTAAAAAACAAAATAGAAAAGAAAGAAGATTTGGGCAATAGGGAGGTTTAAGTGGCATTAAGTAAAGCCTGCAAATGTGAGCAGTGACAGTCAGGGTACCTGAGTGTTCATCAGAAATGGCTGATCGGGTGAGTCTCATCACAATGGAGCTGGTGTCTGCTTCTTATTTCTCTAAATGCCGTACCTACCACAGTACCTGGTCAACAGGGACTCAATACCTAATACCCCAATGAACACAGTAAAATTCTGCCAGTTCAAAAACATGTCCATACTCACCAACTTCCCTCATGGAGTTTTACTTCTTTTCTTACTGTAATGTTTTGAAGTTCATCCCTCCTGTGGCCTGTATCCATAGTTTCTTTTCTTTGTATAACTGAGCAGCACTCCACTGTATGCACAGACCACATGGGTCTATCCATTCTCTAGCTGACGGACACTTGGGTTGTTTCCAGTCGTTGCCTGTAGTGAATGAGGCTGCTGAGAACATTTATGTATACATCTTTTTGAACGCATGCTTTCATTTCTTCTAGATAAATTCCTAGGGCTGGAACTGCTAGGTCAAATAGCTAGTTTATGCTTAACTTCTTTTTTTGCCTTTCTTATTCATAGAAAATATTACACTGATACATAATATTGGACATTTCTATGAGGTGCATGTGCTGTTTGGTTCCGTGCATCCAACATGTCATCATCAAGTCAGGATATTTGGGGTATGGCCTTGAGTATTTATCATTTCTATGTGTTGAGTGTATTTCAAGTTCTCTCTTGTAGCTATTTTGAAATATACAATACATTATTGCTAACGATAGTCACCCTACTCTGCTATCCAACATTAGAACACATTCCTTGCATCTAACTGTAGGTGTGTATTCATTGACCAACCTCTCTGCATTCCCTTCTTATACCCAGAGGAGAGAGGAAGGAGGGAAAGGAGCTGTGGGTGGCTGAATTAGGCCCAGGGATGGCTGTGTCCCAGTCCCGGGACCTGTCCATGTGCTGTGTTGTGTGGCCATAGGGACTTTACAGATGTGAGGATGTGAAGGAGCCTGAGGTGGAAGATGATCCTGGGTTATCTGAGTGGGTCCAAGGTGGGGTCCTTATAAGGGAAAGAAGGAGGCAGGAGGGAGGGAGGGAGGGAGAGAGAGAGGTGGGAGATAGATTTGAAGATGCTGAGCTCTGGCTTTGAAGTTGGAGGAAGGGGCCAGGAGTCCAGGGCATCCTCTAGAAGCTGGAAAAATCCTGGAAATGGATTCTCCACAGAGCTCTCAGAAGGAGCCTGGCCCGGCTGGCACCCTGATTTTAGCACTCTGGGATTCATTTTGGACGTCTGACTCCAGACCAGGGAATCAATGTGTGATATTTTAACCCTCTAAATTAGGGGTCATTTGTGACAGCAGCAGCCACAGCAAAGTCAAACAGGAGCCATGGGAGAGACTCCCTAGGATGCCCCGAGGGTCCCTCCCTGGCCCCACCCGCAGAAACACAGGCCTGACCACTGCTGGTGCCCCCACCCCTCTAACACCCCGCTCAGCAGGAACCATGCAGGAGGGGCTGGGTGTGGCTGGGCCATGTTCTCTCCCCCCACACCTTCTTCTCAGAGAGCAGCTGGAGCCCCAGACCCAGGGAGCCTCCCAGAGAAATTCCCAACACAGGACGTGGTTTTCCACCTGAGGCTCAGGATCCAATGGAGAAGTGCTTCCCAAAAATGATGCTTCCTCCAAAGATGGCCAGTGACTTTCTGTGCCAAGCATCTGAGAAAATCTCCATGTCCTAGGGCTGCCAGGAAGTCACTTTTGCACATGTCAGAGCCCAAATCCCATCAATAGTGAGGCCTTCGGTAAAACATATCCCCACTTTTAATTATGAAGAGATGCCTGGCCTCAGCATTGAAAATATCAACCTCCCTCGAGAAAAGACTTGTTTAATCTCTTAGAAATAATGGAGCACGCCAGCCTGAACAACATGGTGAAACCCTGTCTCTAATAAAAATACAAAAATTAGCTGGGCGTTGTGGCATGTACCTGTAATCCCAGCTACTCAGGAGGCTGAGGCAGGAGAAATGGTTGAACCCAGGAGGTAGAGGTTATGGTGAGCTAAGATGGTGCCATTGCACTCCAGCCTGGGTGACAGAGTGAGACTCCATCTAAAAAGAAAAGAAAGAAATAATGGAGCACTTATTACCCTTCTTGCAGTGGTTCCTGGGGAGCTCAGAGCCTATCTTTTTCAAGTGTCTTGAGCTGCTTGCAGGCCTTTCATGTGTGTTTCTTTCCTGGCTTCCTCCTATTTTTCTCACACCTCTGAACCTGCTGTCAGGTGAAAAATCAAGGTGGACCCAAAATTTAAGAGCTCATGAATTTGATGGTGTTGGAGTGTCCTACACAATCCAGCCCTTGGGGGTGGAGAGTTGGGCAGAGGAGGAGGAGGGCATTCCAGGGGACAGGGCCAGAAGCAGAGGGACTCCAGGCCCAGAGTAGGATTTCCAGGCTGAGGAAAGACAGGCCATGGGTGGGTAGAAGGTCCAGACCAGGACAGGGACAGGGGGTGTATCTGGAGGATCAGCCACAAATAGCTCCCTCCAGAAAGCAGGCAGTGAGATGGGGGGCGAGCTGCAAGGAGGAAGGGGAGGTGGGAGAGAATGGAGGGACTGGTGTTCAGTGAGCCGACTCCTCCTATCCTGGCCTATTTCCCCAGGGGACACGCCTGGGAGGCTGTGATCCTCTCCTCCAGGTTACTTTCCCACTGGTGCCAGGATTCCCCCAACGCCACACTGAGAACCCAGGAGAAGCATCAAATCATATGAGAGATAAGAAATGAAGAGAGGGAACAGGATTTCTGGTTGACAAAGAGGATATTTATTGAGGGTTTACTGGGTACAGGGAGAAGGGCTGGATGGCTTGGGATGCAGAGAGATCCCTCCCCTGGGATCCTGCAGCTCCAGGCCCCTGTGGGTGGGGTGAGGGTTGGGAACCTACGAACATTCTGCAGGGGCCACTGTCTTCTCCACGATGCTCCCTTCATGCATGATCTGGCAGCTGTAGCTGTTGTGGGACCTCCACTGGTCGGGCGTCAGACTCAGGTAGCTGCTGGCCGCGTACTTGTTGTTGCTCTGTTTGGAGGGCGTGGTCATCTCCACACCCTGGGTGATGGGGGTACCATCTGCCTTCCAGGTCACCGTCAAGATTCCCGGATAGAAGTCACTCATGAGACACACCAGTGTGGCCTTGTTGGCTTGGAGCTCCTCAGAGGACGGCGGGAACAGAGTGACCGAGGGGGTGGCCTTGGGCTGACCTGTGTGGACAGAGGAGGGGTGAGAGACGGCAGAGGGAGAGTGGGGTGTTGTGGAGCGCCTCTCTCTGTCTAAAGTCTCTGGGGGGTTCATGGTGTGGTTGTCTGGTCCACCCAGGGCCTCTCCCTCCCTCTTCTTTCCCTCCTTTCCACTGGAGCCCTCTGGAGAGCAGACAGCCCTGCACCTTTCCTAGGGGCCTTCCCAAGTCACCTTTCCCAGGCGTCCTGGCCCAGTCATTTCCTCTGCAGCCTCGGTTTCCCCGTGCGTACCCAGGGAAGGCTGTGCTCCCTCCTTCCTGGTTTCTGGAGTCTGTGTTTGGAGTCTAAGTGTCTCTCCCACAGCACACAAAACTGTCCTGGCAGGGTGTGGGGAGGCCCAAACCTGGCATGGCCTGGAGCTTCCCATCCCCTGGGACACCAGGCTGTGCCCCAGCCTGGCCCACTCAGTTCTCCTGGTGAAGCAGGGGCTCCACCCAGACAAACCCTAGGGCTCCGCCATCGCCCCTGTTTCCACCAGCCCAACCACAGGACCCTTCACATCAGCTGGGTTCTTGGAGCTTCCTCCCCACATTTTGGGGGACTGCAGCCCCCATGCCCACCCCAGCAGCCTCTGATTCACCTGGTGGCCGTGGAGTTATCTGCACCCCCGTTTACTCCCCGCTAGTCACCTCCTGAGTCTAACGGGCCATTCCTCAAATGAAGGCGGGAGGTCGACCCATGAACAGAGACACACCAGGCCTCAGAGGTGACGGGGCTCCAGGGACAGACACATCTGTGCCCCAGGAGACCCTCTCCAACCTCACCCAGTTTCATCTGTCCCTCAGTGTCCCCATGTCCTCATGACCCAGCACAAGCCATAGAGCTGCAGCCTAGACCCAGAGTCCTCTCTGTGCCTTCCAATGGTCTCCCCTTGGGGTGACCCCTGTGTCCCCAGCCCTCATGTGGCCCTCCCAGTCTGGATGGGCATCCAGCCCTCAGCCTAGATCCTGGGGTCCCGGGGACTGTCTCTAAGGCCACTACAGGGCCCCTCATCAGAACTGGCCTCTGTCCTTCACTGAGACATCTGCCCTGGGAAAGGGGAGGAGCCCTGACCCTGCCCAATCCCAGCCCAGACCCCAGGACCAGGCTGTGTCCCGCTGTTGGAAGCTGAAAGTGGCTGCTCCCACTGTGGGGGCCCTTCCTGCCAGTTACCCTGAGACCAGCCCACTTCCCCCAGACCCCATGGAGAAAGGAAGGGTTCCATGCTTAAGGCTTGGAGGGCAGAGGAGAAGAAGCCCCAGAGAAAGAAAAGAGATTTTTCCAGACAGGAGAGGGTGAGACAGGCTGGGGAAAGTTGTGAGAGCCGCTTACCTAAAACAGTGAGCTGGGTCTCGTTGCCAAACACATGCTTCAGTGAATTATACTTGGATAGAAACCCCCTGGCCAGCACCTGGGGCCAGTCCAGGAGCTGTGCTGGAGCAGGAACCTGCTGGGTATGAGGGGCACAGGGCTGCAGTGTGTAGGCTCTGACCTAGGCACAGGGTAGGGGGGTGGCCAGTATCCCAGTAGGGTCTCTGTGGGTGTTCCCTGTCTGAGGCAGGAGTCCTGAGCTGGCTCGGACCTGCCCAACCTCACTTGGTCCCATTTTAAGGGCCTCTGAAATCCGCCACAAGTGTCCCCAGTCAAGCCAGGCTGACTTCCTCCCTGGACCAGGACACTGGGTCATTCTTGACTCAAGAGGAGAGTCCTATCCATGGAGATGCAGCTCAGTCTCACTTTGTTCATGAAGCCTTTTCTGATCATTCATTCCATCTGTCCACCCATCTGTCCATCTATTCATCTATCTTTGCATCCATCTACCATCTGTCCATTCATCCATCCATCTACCTGTCAGTCCATCCATAAATCCATCCTGTCTACCATGCACTGTTTTGTGTGCTGGGGACATGGTGTGGTCCCCCATGCTCTCACCCCCATCTCTCCCAGGTCATGGCCAACAAGGCCCTCCTCATGGTCATGTCCAAGGTCCTTCTGCTGTACCTGGTGTCTCTGCTGGATGCGACACGGGGCTGGCCCCTCTTTCCAGTGACTCTTTTCCCCTTGGGGTCTGACTCCCCTTTCCTCTTCCCCTGGCATCTGTTTCTCCATGGCCCGTGCCTGGCTGCTGACTCTCCAAGATCCCCATTCAGACCCCTTTCTTAGCCATCTTCACACTCTGTGACCCCCACTATTGCCCACATGGTGAGGCTGGAGTCTATCCCAGCTCCAAACCCTCTCAGCTCCTCCACTGCCTGCTGACCATGCCCGGTGGGCTACCCAACAGGACTCTCAAACTAATCACATCCAGAGGAGATGACCACCTTCCCCCAGCCCAGCTCATTTTCCATCTTCATCTCATCACAATGACCATGGGTGGTCTCAACCCCTCAGTCCTGGAGTCCCTGGACTCAGTCACCTCGCCTCCCACACTGAAATGGCTTCTGTGTACTTAGCTACTGCATCTAGACAGCACTCTTTTTTTTCTTTGAGACAGAATCTCGCTGTCGCCCATGATCTTGGCTCACTGCAACTCTGCCTCCCAGGTTCTAGGCAATTCTCCCGTCTCAGCCTCCTGAGTAGCTGGGACTACAGGCGAACGCCACCAGGCCCAGCTAATTTTTTGTATTTTTAGTAGAAACGGGATTTCACCATGTTAGCGAGGATGGTCTCAATCTCCTGACCTCGTGATCCACTTGTCTCAGCCTCCCAAAGTGCTGGGATTACAGGCTTGAGCCACCGCACCTGGCCAATTTTTGTATTTTTAGTAGAGGTGGGGTTTCACCATATTAGGCTGGTCTTGAACTCCTGACCTCATGATCTCCCCGCCTCAGCCTCCCAAACTGCTGGGATTACAGGCGTGAGCCACCGTCTGCAGCCTTTTTTTTTTTTCTGACTGAGTCTCACTCTGTTGCCCAGCCTGGAGTGCAGTGGTACAATCTTGGCTCACTACAACCTCCGCCTCCTGAGTTCCTGGGTACAAGCAATTCTAATGCCTCAGCCTCCTGAGTAGCTGGGATTACAGGAATGCACCACCACGCCCGGCTAATTTTTTGTATTTTCAGTAGAGACGGTGTTTCTCCACATTGGCCAGGCTGGTTTCGAACTTCCAACCTCAGGTGGTCTGCCCTCCTCGGCCTCCCAAAGTGATGGGATTACAGGTGTGAGCCACCACACCCGGCTCCATTTTTATAATTGTGGTCAAACATACATAGCATCAATATTTCCACTTTAATTATTTTTAAATGTACAGCTCCATGGCACTAAGTACATTTACACTGTTGGGCAACCTTCACCACCATCCATCTCCAAAATTCTTTCATCTTCCCAAACAGAAACTCTAAACCCATTAACTACAGTCCCCCATTCTTCCTTCCCCCTCGTCCTGTTAACTCAAATCTACTTTTTGTCTATGTGAATTTGCCAATTCTAGGTACCTCATAAAAGTGGATTCAAATGACATTTGTCCATTTATGTCTGGCCTATTTCACTAAGTATAATATCTTCAAGTTTCATCCATGTTATAGAAGATTTTTGAAATTAATTTAAAAATAATTAATTAAAACCTATTAAGACCTATTCAAAGTAGTACAGCCAGGCACGGTGGCTCACGTCTGTAATCCCAGAACTGTGGGAGGCCGAGGCGGGGGGGCAGGGGTCACGAGGCCAGGAGATCGAGACCATCCTGGCTAACACAGTGAAACCCCACCTCTATTAAAAACACAAAAAAATAGCTGGGCGTGGTGGCACGCACCTGTAGTCCCAGCTACTTGGGAGGCTGAGGCAGGAGAATCACTTGAACGCAGGAGGCGGAGGTTTCAGTGAGCCAAGATCGTGCCACTGAACTCCAGCCTGGGTGACAGACCAGGACTCCGTCTTAAAAAAATAAAAAATAATTTTAAAAAAAGGTTCAAATGTGGCCTTTGAAAAGTGTGTTGTGTCTGGCAGTATATAGTATATAAAATGTATGAAAGGTAGCCTGTTCCAGAGTTAAGTTTGGAAAGCTGAGGACCATCTGCATATACATGGCACGCCCTTTCCCTGCACCACAGTATCCTCAAAAATTCTTCCCTCCAATCTTTTTTTTTTTTTGAGACAGGGTCTCACTCTGTCACCCAGGCTGGAGTACAGTGGCATGATCACAGCTCACTGCAGCCTTGACCTCCTCAAGCAATCCTCCCACCTCAGCCTCCTGAGTAGCTGGGATTATAGGCGTGCGCCATTACACCCAGTTAAGTTTTATTTTTATTTTTAGAGATGGGGTCCCACAATGTTGCCCAGCTCATCTGGAACTCCTGGGTACAAGCAATCCACCCACCTTGGCCTCCCAAAATGCTGAGATTACAGGTGTGAACCACCACACCTGGCCTCCAATCTCTTCAAATTTCAGAACCTTACCCTTCTATCACTATAACACTATTTCCCTCACAGGATGCGTGGTCATTATCAAGAAAGGCAGTAAGGGTGAAGATTTCTAGCATTTCTCTCTCAGTCCCATTTGGTGCTTACATCTTATTTTGGGTTGCACTTGACATCTTGACATATGGAATACTTGTCAGTTAGGCTTACAACAGCCTTAGAGTGATCATGTGGGTAACCTTGATGAGAGGTAAGATTAAATTCTAACCAAAATGTAGCATCCAAACATAAGACAAATACTTACATGTGATAAATCCTGCATGAAAGAGAGGATAACAGTGCCCACCTCTGATAATCTGTCTTAATCAAGGCAGTAAAATTCCTGCAGAGAAAAAAAACAAAAGCATGTCTGCCAGCTGCTGGCCTGTGTTAGAGAGGGCTCTTTCTAGGGGCACCAGAGGGAATGGAGTGTAATTCAAACTGGAAGCCTTTTAAAGCCAGAGCTAGCTCACCTATTGAGGCTATACCTTTTAACTCTACTCAACTGCAGTAGTCAGGACTCTTGTTGCAAGTGACAGAAACCCAACTCAAACTAGCTTAAGCCTAGAGACAGGTTTATGGACTGTCTCATGGAATTCATAAACAAGATAGTTCTATCTCTCAGAACTCATTGGCCTTAAGAACTATATGGAGTCAGAGACGCTAACACCACTGTCTTCTCCTATCTGTGTTTCTTTAAGATTTGTCCTTTTTTCTCAGCAATTCCACCAATCCTCTAGTTCACATAATCTGAAGCATGGTTACAGGGAGCTCCTAAATTTTATATTTTGCAGAGAGGCTGGTTCAACTGTCTTTCAGTCTCCGTTCCAAATATCTGTGTAAGGACATTTATTGGACTGGCCTGGGACAGGTGCCTTCCCCTGAATCAATCAGCACTGGACATAGGACAAGTTCACATGATAATCTGGCAACCTAGAAAAACGAAGTAAGGAGCAGCGACAGCCCTTAGAAGGCGAGTAGTGCCAGACCGACATTCCCATGGGTGTTCTCTGCATCCACAGCCCTACCATCCTGATGTTTTCTTTCGCATTCATTAATATTTGTGAGAGTCTGGAGAAATACACCATGTTCATGGATTGGAACACTCAATCAGTTCTTCCCAAAGTGATTTGTAGATTACTTATGTAATTCTTATCAAAATCTAAACATATTTCTTTCCTCTTTTTATTTCTATTTTTTATTTATTTATTTTTTTTTGAGACAGAGTCTCGCTCTGTCACCCAGGCTGGAGTGTAGTGGCGCAATCTTGGCTCACTGCAAGCTCCGCCTCCCGCATTCATGCCATTCTCTTGCCTCAGCCTCCCAAGTAGTTGGGACTACAGGTGCCCGCCACCATGCCCAGCTTTTTTTCTTTTTTCTTTTGTATTTCTGGTAGAGACGGGGTTTCAAGGTTTTAGCCAGAATGGTCTCGATCTCCTGACTTTGTGATCCACCCACCTCGGCCTCCCAAAGTGCTGGGATTACAGACATGAGCCACCACATCCAGTCCTTTTTTTTTCTTTTTTTTTTTTTTTAACAAACAATCACCATTAGGATGAATCTCAACATATTTCTTAATAAATATTGACAAGTTGATTCTAATTTTTTTTAGAAAGCATCTTGCTCTGTTGTCTAAGCTGGAGTATAGTGGTGCAATTATAGCTCACTGCAGCCTCAAACTCCTAGGTTCAAGCTATCCTCCCTCCTCAGACTCTCCAAGTGCTAGGATTACAGATGTGTGCCACCACGCCTGGCTAATTCTAAATTTATATGAAAATGCAGGCTGGGTGTGGTGGCTCACACCTGTAATCCCAGAACTTTGGGAAGCAGAGGCGGGCGAATCACCTGAGGTCAAGAGTTCAAGAAAAGCCTGGCCAACATGGCAAAACCCTGCTCTACTATAAAAACACAAAAAAATTAGCCTAGCGTACTGAAGCATGCCTGTAATCCCAGCTACTCGGGAGGCTGAGACAGGAGAATTGCATGAACCCAGGAGGCAGAGGTTGCAGTGAGCTGAGATTGCCCTATAGCACTCCAGCCTGGGTAACAAGAGCGAAACTCTGCCTCAAAGAAACAAAAAAAAATTGCAAAGGGCCAAGAATAGCCAAAATACTGGCTTGTTCTGAAAGCTCTGGTCTATGAGAAAATCCACTTCTTTTTTTTTTTTTTTTTTTGAGACAGAGTCTCCTCGCTTTGTTGCCCAGGCTGGAGTGCAGTGGTGTGGTCTCGGCTTACTGCAAGCTCTGCCTCCTGGGCTCATGCCATTCTCCTGCCTCAACCTCCCAAGTAGCTGGGACAACAGGTGCCCGCCACCACCCTGGCTAATTTTTTGTGTTTTTAAGAGATGGGGTTTCACCATGTTAGCCAGGATGGTCTCCATCTCCTGACGTCGTGATCTGCCCGCCTCTGCCTCCCAAAGTGCTGGGATTATAGGCATGAGCCACTGCGCCCGGCCAGAAGAGATGATCCACTTCTTACAGACTTCAAGATGTGATAAAAGGCTTGGCACTTGAGGATCACTTGAGTTCAGGAATTGGAGACCAGTCCAGGCAACATGGCAGGAGCTTGTTTCTGCAGAAAAACTTAAAATTTAAAAAAAAAAAAAAAAAAAATTAGCTGGGCATGATGATACACACCTGTAGCCCCAGCTATCCAGGAGGCTGAGGCAGGATGATTATTTGAGCCCAGGAGTTCAAGGTTATAGTGCACTATGTTTACACTACTGCATTCCAGTGTGGAAAACATAGTGAGACCTGTCACCGAAAAAAAAAAAAATAGGAAAGAACAAAACCCGGTCAGGCACGGTGACTCATGCCTGTAATCCAAGCACTTTGGGAGGCCGAGGTGGGTGGATCACGAGGTCAGGAGAGCAAGGCCATCCTGGCTAACACGGTGAAACCCCGTCTCTACTGAAAATACAAAAAAATAGCCGGGCATGGTGGCGGGCGCCTGCAGTCCCAGCTACTCAGGAGGCTGAGGCAGGAGAATGGCGTGAACCCGGGAGGTGGAGCTTGCAGTGAGCCGAGATTGAGCCACTGCACTCCAGCCTGAGTGACAGAGCGAGACTCCGTCTCAAAACAAACAAACAAAACAAAACAAAAAAAAGGAAAGAAATAACAAAACCCTAGCAGAATGTTGCCCATAGCTAGTCTTCACTCAATAATGCCCATTTGGCCACACAGTAACTCTCAGGAAAAAAACATTAATTAGTTCTGTTAGAGCAAGGAAACTCACTCATTAGCTTTAGGTCTGTTTTAGGGCAGATGGGTAACTGTCTAAAATACCATGGAGTTATTCAAGAAGCATTCACTGAGAATGTATTCTGTTTATGTTCCACCCTACTCCTTCTACCTTGGTCTTCAGCATTCTCGTTTTCCAGTATCCTTATGCACTGTGCCTTTATTTATTTATTTTTTTTGGAGACAGAATCTCTGTCTCTCAGGCTGGAGTGCAGTGGTGCCATCTCAGCTCACACCTCACTGCACCCTCCGCCTCTTGGATTCAAGTGATTCTCAAATTTCAGCTTCCTGAGTAAGCTGAGATTACAAGCACATGCCAACATGCCCATCTAATTTTTGTATTTTTAGTAGACACAAGGTTTCACCATGGTGGCTAGGCTGGTGTCAAACCCCTGGCCTCAAGTGACCCGTTCACCACTGCCTCCCAAAGTCTTGGGATTACAGGCATGAGCCACCACACACAGCCTGCTGTGCTCACTTTAAATATGGAAATACTGGTATTTTTGCTGGTGTAATACTATTGTTTTGGCCTGAATCTGAAATCTGAATTATTTTGTATTGAGACTATCCATGGAGTTCTTTGATTCACTAAAATTCCAAATTGAACAAGGATACACTTAATTAATTTAAAAATAATTTTTCCAGTCTGAGTGCAGTGGCTCACACCTGTAATCCCAGTACTTTGGGAGACCAAGGCAAGTGAATCATTTGAGGTTTGAAGTTCAAGACCAGCCTGGCCAACATGGCAAAACCCCGTCTCTACTAAAAATACAAAAATTACCCGGCTGTGGTGGCGCAAGCCTGTAATCCCAGTTACTCGGGAGGGAGAATCACTTGAACTCAGGAGGCAGAGGTTGCAATGAGCCAAGACCTCACTACTGCACTCCAGCCTGGGTGACAGAGCGAGAGACTCTGTCTCAAATAATAATAATAATGAATAACAATAATAATTTGTCCATATTTCACACTTCTATACTTTACTATCTTCAAGAGTCAGAAGATAACACCGACAAAGCAGAGCATCTGATGCAATAATAATTTTTTTTTTTTTTTTTTTGAGAGGGAGTGGAGAGTCTCCCTCCGTCGCCCAGGCAGGAGTGCAGTGGCACAGTCTCGGTTCACTGCAACTTTTGTCTCCCGGGTTCAAGTGATTCTCGTGCCTCAGCTTCCGAGTGGCTGGGACAACAGGCACCTGCCACCATGCCCAGCTAATTTTTGTATTTTCAGTAGAGACGGGTTTTCGCCATGTTGGCCACGCTGGTTTCGAACTCTTTAACAGGTGATCCACCCGCCTCGGCCTCACAAAGGGCTGGGATTACAGACGTGAGCCACCACGCCCAGCTACTGATGTAATAATAATATACTTAACTCTGGTTCAAAGACTTTTTGAAGAAGCAGATGAGCATGACAGAATTGAAACTGATTTTGGGGAATGATTAAAATCTCCATCTAGATCAGGCACAATGGCTCACACCTGTAATCCCAGCACTTTGGGAGGCCAAGACAGGCGGATCACTTGAGGTTAGGAGTTTGAGACCAGGCCAGCAAAAATGCTGACACCCCATCTCTACTAAAATTACAAAAATTTGCTGGGTGTGTTTGTGTGGACCTGTAATCCCAGCTACTCAGGAGGCTGAGCCACGAGGATCACTTGAACCCAGGTGGTGGAGGCTGCAGTGAGCCACGATCACGCCGCTGCACTCTAGCCTAGGCAACAGAGTGAGACCCTGTCTCAAAAAAAAAAAAAAAAATCCCCATTCATACATTATGAAAACAAAAGATCAAAAGAAAGCAGAACAATTTTTTTGGAACAAAACACACTGCCTGCTGTCAATAAAAAGATTACAGTCCTAACCTTTCCCCCAAGAATTCTGTCAGATAATCTCAAAGTTATCAAAGTGAAATGGGATTATTTAAAGATGAAGGGCTTAAAGAAAAATATCTGGCCAGGCACGGTGACTAATGCTTGTAATCCCAGTACTTTGGAAGGCCAAGGCTGGTGGATCACCTGAGGTCAGGAGTTCCAGACCAGCCTGGCCAACATCATGAAACCCCATCTCCACTAAACATACAAAAATTAGCCGGGCAGGGCGGCGGGTGTCTC